TTTGTAGAACCAATTCATTTCCTTTAAAATAATTCAAAACTTGAAGCATCTAATATTCTTGAACATATTTTACTTCAAAAGATTTATTATTTTAATTTGAATTTTGATTATTAAACTTGTTCTCAAGTTAAACATTAAGATGTCGAAATTCCCAATGCAATTAGTTTACTATTTTAAGATGTGAGATTTTAAGCCTTTCTTAAATAATTTTCTGAAAGACATTCATTTCTATGGAATTTAAGTTCAAAAATTCTCCTTATTCGTAAGGAGCTAATTAGTTTCCTGATTTAAATTAACAGCGCAAACAATGATGCGTATCAACCACAAAAATACCCAATCGCCCTAAGGTAATTCATCACATTTATAATTAATTATCGCCTTTCGTTATATAAGTATACAGTTTTTAGCGTTACAAGCTTGATATGATTAGGCTAATTTAAATTCAATCCTTATTTTTAATTATATTCCAAAAAAGAAAGCACAAATCTCTTGTTAATATAAAAATTAACAGAATGTAACATTTTACTAATGACTTCCGGATTTATTATATTCATATTCACTTTTCTATTAAAAAAATATCTATTGTTAAATTTTTTATAATAAGCAGGATATTTCTAAAATGATGACTTTAAATAATGACACTCTATTTATACTCTAAGAAATCAACACTGTTAGAAATTAATTGTTAGTTTAGTATATTCAAGCAAAACAGTCAAACAACCATAATCAAATGACTAGTAACTGTTAGAAAAACCGTTTATTAACTGCTTTTCACCTAATACGGTTAAACAACAAGAATTTTACGGCACAAACTAAGTCCACCTAATGAATTAGTTCCTTGCATTGCGTACATATTACAGCCGAGAGGGTTAATCTGTCAGTCTCATGACTGACTGAACTGGGGTTCCAGCTTCCTCTTCTCCTCAACTTGTGTCTTATACTCTCCAATACAGATTACCTAAAGAAATGCCTAGCTCTTATGTATAGTTAAATCCCTTTTTTACGGTTTTAAAACCATGCTGGTTGTAAATGGTTAAAAAACAGCTTAGCTTTGTATCCATTATTTTATAACCATACAAATTGTAAACGATTTCAAAATCGTAAAGATAAAAATTGTTCTTTACCGTAAACTTTACGCTTATTCGGATGGATGGTGTTGCGGCAAACACTAACTCCAATTAGTTGGCGCCACCAAAAGTATTCAGAATATGTAGGTTACTCTGAGTATGGCAAGAGAAAAAAGAGAGAACTGAAAATATCGTTGAATTGGTTTTTTTGAAATATCTTTGGAACGCTGTGTTTTGTTTTGTTTTTGTTGTTTTTTATTTAAAATAAATGTTTTGTTTTGCCTGTTTTTAAACGTTATCAATCAATAGACAAGATGCCTCTCACAAACACAGTCAATCCGGTTAGGAACGACAGATGGATTGTTGTCTGTTAATTTGCCATGATTTAAAAAGGAAAATTCTAACAGTGAACAACAAAACATTTAAAATCCAAAAATACTACTTTTCAATGTCAAGCGAATAAGAAAACTAACGCGGTTTTCTAAATATTAGTAATGATTTTCTGCTTAAAGAATTTGTAATACTATACGTTTTAAAAATAGAATTAATAACCTACTTGCATGAAATACGCATTTCTGTTCTCAGATTGCCTATAGGAATACTAACGAAAATAGACCTACAAAGTTGAACTTGACACCACCGGCGAATCTGAATTCGAGAGATCGGAAATCGTCTGCGGCTGAATTAATTAGTTATAATTCAAACGATGATATCCTTTGTTTATTTTGTTTTAAAAACCACGAGACTCGTTTTTGCAAGAAAACGTTTTATATGCCTTTAGAAGAAAAACAGTCTGTTATTAGAAGGAAGGGCTTATGTAAAATTTGTTTATTGAAGGGGCACCTGGCTTTTTCTTGTAAATCAAACATTAAATGTTCTATTTGCACAAGAAAACATTTAAAATTTATGTGTCCTGACTTAGAATGTAAAGAAAACAAGATAATAATGAAAGCAAAGAAAAAGAGACTGGCACCTTACATTCGCGCGTGCATGCAACTAAAGAAGTATTTTTACAGACTCTTGTAGTAATTATTAAGGGAAAGAAAGCGCAGCGTAAAGCTAGAATTATTTTAGATACGGGTTCTCAAAAGTCTTATATTATGAAATCTACTGCAGAAGAGTTAGGTTTTGATTTTGAAAGGAAAGAAGAATTTTCGACCTCATTATTTGGGGGTAAGAAAACAGAAATTCAACGGCACAAATGTTATAAAATATATCTCGATAGCCTTGATGGTAAATATAGTTGTAATTTAGGTGCATTGGATCAGGAAATAATTTGTAATAATGTTTCTAGCATTAGACAAGGGCCGTGGATTCGAGAATTGAGACAAAAAAGGATATTTATAACTGATTGTGGGAATTCAGGACCTATTGAAGTTCTTTTAGGGGCTGATGTTGTTGGTAAACTATTTACGGGTAAACAAGAACAATTAAAATCTGGATTAGTGGCCTTGGACACTAAATTAGGATGGACATTAATAGGGAAGGTTCCTCAGTTTGAAAACCATGATAATTTAAATATGACAGTTGTAAATATGCTTTCTCAAGAATTACCTGTTTCGTTTTTATGGGATTTAGAATTACTTGGTATTAGAGATCCTGTTGAACAAAACACTAGAGAAGATACACAAAAGGCAGTTATGATTCATTTTCGAGACACAGTTCATCAAAATTCAGATGGAAGATACGAAGTAAGCTTACCATGGAAAAAGGATCATGCTTTATTACCGAATAATTATGAGTTGTCTCTTAAAAGATTAAAATCTACTAACAAGAAATTAGAAAAAACGGGATATGAAAAGAAATACCAGCAAGTTTTTGATGAATGGATAGAAGAAGAAGTGATTGAGAAAGTTCCACAAGAAGAATTGTCAATTAAAGGTACACATTACCTCCCACATCGCCCAATTATTAAGGAAAAGTCAACGACAACTTCTTTGAAAATCAGACCCGTCTGTCGGAGCTAATAGAGTCTAGTGGACTGTAACGTTTGGTAATTTTTTATTGAAAGAGAAAAGATGTTAGAAAGCTACGCTTGGCGCATTACAATCTCGCCAATGAGGGCGCGGACACCGTCTTTGACGCTTCAGCCAAGAATCCGAACTTCCCATCACTAAATGATTGTTTAGAGACTGGAATAAATTTTATTGAGACNATTGACACCTACTTTTGGACAGATTCGTCGACTGTGTTAACGTGGATTAAGAGGAAAGAACGGTGGTCAGTGTTCGTGAACAATCGAATATCTGAAATAAATAGACTGACATCACCTGAGAATTGGTATCATGTACCAGGAAGCCATAACCCGAACGATCTTCTCTCTCTCTCTCGAGAGAGAGAGAGAGAGGATATGGAGCTAAACAACTTCTGAAGTTCATCTGAAGAACTCAAAGCATGATTGGCCGATGACAGTAGCTAATGTTAATGAAGAGGAAGTTGAAAAAGAAAAACGAAAGTCTGTTGTTTCGGCTATCAATATAGACTCGGAATCCATTGTAACTACTTTAGCATCCAGAATTTCGAATTTTTTAAGATAATCAGAGTTATAGCATGGGTGTTACGCTTTCACCCGAAAGCTAAAGATTTAAGAAAGAATGTTGATTTAACGCAAGAAGAAATAACAAATGGAACAAAAGACTCTTTTGCGTTCAGTGCACAAGGAATGTTTTTACGACGAGGAAGGCAAAAATTCTTTGAAAAACTTTCAAGTGTTTTCAGATTATGAGGAGATACTTCGATTAAAGTCTAGACTTTTGAATGAAGATGAAACCCCTGAATTCATTGCTCCTTTTATTCTTCCATCAAAGCATATTGTTGTCACACGACTTATTGAACAAGAACACCTATTGAATAAACATGCAGGAACGTCCATTCTTCTAACAATCTTAAGAGAGAGATTTTGGATTATAAAAGGTAGAAGAACTGTTCGCTCCGTTATTAGAGGATGTGTCACCTGCAAGAGACAAAAAGTTAAAAATCTTGAAGTACCATTTTCACTTCTGCCTAGATTATCGGCTAGATTATCGAACTAGATTATCGGCTGTATTCGAAGTGACCGGTGTCGATCTAGCCGGACCTTTGACCAAGACTAATAAGAAGGTTTGGATCGTCCTTTTCTCCTGTGCTGTGTATAGAACTGTTCACTTAGAGCTGATACCTTCTCTTAGCACAAACGCTTTTGTTCAAGCATTACGGCGATTTATTGCCAGAAGAAGTAGAGTATCTACACTATACTCAGACAATGGTACCAATTTCACTGGCCTCAACGCCTCCTTGAAGCGCCTTGATTGGACCAAAATCATGAAAGAATTTGAAGTTTCACAAATCCAATGGAAATTTAATCCACCCTCCGCCCCATGGTGGGGAGGATTCTGGGAAAGATTAATCGGAATTCTCAAAGATCTCTTTAGAAAAAACTTGGGACGGTCATCTCTGACTCATGTGGAACTGTCAACTCTTGTTTATGAATGTGAATCGACCACGAACAATAGACCTATGACTTATGTGTCTGAAGAACCAGATTTGAGAGCTTTAACACCATCTTCATTCCTTCATGACCTCCCTACTAACGACGTAGCCGAATTAGACAAAATTGACAAAACTAGTTTAGG